TTTTACCTGGATTACTGAGATGCATCAGGACACTTGTAAAGATAATGTTTTTTTCTCTCTATTTTAAATCTATATTATTGTTTACATTTCTGTGTTGCTTTGTTGTTTTATTCATTTGGCTAAATTGTGAAGCACTTTGGTCAACTTTTGTTGTTTTTATGTGCTGTATAAATAAAGTGACATTGACTGTCTTGTGACCCTTCCTCAGGCCAAAGCCTACACATGTAGTCTGGATATGAAAGGTAATGTCAGTAATCCACACCTAAAGCCAGAGAGGGATGACCTCATTCGATTATACTCACTATAAGAGTCTTCGAAGATGTCCGGTGAGCGTAGAGAAGCCCACACAAAGCTCAGTGAGGCTGCTGATTTGTCCCAGCAGGTTGCCGATAGTCGCCAGGAGGTCCTCCTCATCAGAACCCAGCCTCCTGACATCCAAGGCCCCGGCTGGCAGCGTTAGAGACTGTAACTTTGGGAACTCCACCCTGGACAGCAGCACCTCCAGGTGCGCGGCCTCCAGGGGGACGTTGTGGACCACCTCCAGCTTTGTAATGATCTCGGGCTCTGCCAGGCGGAGAACGTAGAAGAGCTGCTTGAGCGACAGGGAGTCGGCTCTGAAGCGGACGAAGCGCAGCTTCAGGGGGCAGCACCGGAGGAGCAGGAAGGCCTGCGCCACCAGCTCGTAGCTGCGGCCCGTGACGAAGCCGTTCAGACGCACGTCGATGGACGTCTCAAAGGAAGAGTGGGTCACGTCGCTGGCCTGCATGGCCACCATCGTCTCGTAGCACATCTGGGTCAGGAGCTGGGTTCTGGCCCAGCGACCCAGGGAGGACTTGCAGGGACAGGACTGATGCTCRATGTCTTTGAGAGCAGTCAGGTCCACCACATGCAGACTCTTGGCATAAGTTCTTGGAGGGGACAGAACATAATCCTTAAAAAAAAGAGAGTTTAGTTAATCTGAAAACATAAGAAATGGGTTTATACTGGAGTGTAAAACCCGTTTCAGTACCTTTAGACCCGTTACAACAGCTTGGAGGCACGGCCTGCAGGTACAGGAGGTGAGGTCCWCCTGGCAGTCGGTGGACTTTCCCAGGAGTCTTTGCATGCTGAGCTCTGGAAGAGGCCAGGACTGGACCAGAGCGCGCAGCAGCTCAGCCTTCTCGTGCAGGTAGCAGGCCTTGAAGAGAAGTGGGTAGAGATTAAAAGACACACAGCTGAGGTTCCTTAAAGCGCTGGAACCAGTCTGGATGAAGCCCTCGGCTGCGAGGAAGCGCAGGGACTTCATGTTCTCTGGTTCTGTGAAGCAGCTGCTTCACCAGCTCCTCGTTTCAGYGTTTCTGTATTTGTTGATATTCTCTCCTGCTGCCAGTCTTTAGTCCTGGACTGTGCTTTGCTGTGGTGAGGCGAGAACAGATTGTGGTGGTCTTGTGATAGCTAAGAGCACCGAGGTTATTAATAGAAGCAGCTGTCTCATGTCCTTCGTCCAGCYACGGTGTCCGTTTAGGACTTTAGCCTCACAGATGATAGAAGCAACACTTGAACACTGCTGGGAAGATTATTCTAACACTTTGTGAAGCCTTATTATAACATCTGCATTGTACCATAATATAAAGTTTAATAATTTAAAATAAATAAATAAAAATACACAAACTGTATCCAGAAACGTGGATATGTTGCACCCAATGAAACAGTCAAAATGAGCACTGGGGATGATTTCCACWGTTTATTATCAAATACAAAACTAGTATTCCAATGTTTTATCTGTATAAACTTGCTTAAAATGTCAATACACATGGTTTGTCTCATATCAAATTGCAGCTTGCCTTTAAAGTGGACTAACAGTTTTTTCTTTATAATACACAAATGTACATATTGCTCCATACACAGTCCTGTTAACTGGCGCTGCTGACAGACTCTTTGACAGTGAGTGCTGGTGTGGATCCTATGTGAGTCCAGATGTAGCCYTTCTCAGGACAAATGGGAATGGTGGGGAACGGGGAGCTCTGGGACTTGAAATATTCAGACGGGGCGTGACACACGAACTCCAGGTACTCCATCTTTCTGGGCAGATCCTCCTCTGGACCTGATAGGAAATGAGAATCTATTAAGCCGAGACAAACGAGGTTACACTTTAAAGAAAAAGTGGGTTTTGTGCATAATTTGCTTACCCACGATGTAAGTTCCAGGATCAAACTGGTCGTTTGGACTGGCCTGAGTGGGAATGAGCCACGTCAGCGCAGCACTCTTCTCACAGTACTGGTCTTGCACAAATCCTCGGATCTGAGCGTAGTACGACTTCCCGTCCTCCTCGTCGATCACCCTGATCACGTCACCTACCTGGTAGTAGACACCCTGTGGAGACATATGAGTGGGTTTTCATTGTACTGTGATAACTTACGACACGAGAAGAAAACATTGACAATTAGCTCGGCAAATTGAAACATCAAACCTTATAAAATATAGATTCGGATGTGATGATTGTTGCTACGGATTCTGGTGCTTTGATGGGCTGTCAAAGAGATCAAACAGGTGTTAATGTACAAATTCATCACAAAATTTTTTTTAAAAAGGGGGCAAATTATAAGTAACTTACATTTTTTAGTTTAAATATGTGTCTTCTTCCTTTTCCTTTTGTTGAGACTTTTTTCTCAGAAGCAGGGGCTTTGTACTTGGTGCTTCTCAGYCGTGCAGACCTCCTGTGGATCTCCTGTTTGGACTAAATAATAAACATTTCATGTATGCTGCATTAACTTGAGAAAAAAATAACAGTAACTAGTGTGACAACAGTATTAACAGATTACTAATTTATTGTTTGGTCTGTGAAATTTAGAAACATAAAATTAATTAAACAAAGAAGACACTGTTGTATTGATATTCTTCCCACATTAATGTAAGTTTTACTTCTACTACACATTGTAAACAACTGAGGTTATCGTAATGTGCTTTAGAGCCAAATAACAAAACAACAAAAAAAGTTAAGACATAAAAATACAAAAACAGACAGCCAAAGTACATAGAATATATTAAAAGTATGTCTAGTCTGAGCAGTGAGCATATTTAAAAAGGTAACGTTTCCACAATTTAAGTTAATTTGTAACAATTTTTAGACAGAAATTAAACTATGCACGTTTAAGCCGCCAGGGGGAGCTGTTGTAAACCATCACTCCTGCAACAGCGAGTTGGCTTCGATGTTTTTCAAAAAAATGAACGAAAACTGAGCTACAGGTATATCAATGTACCGTGAAAGCTTAGTTCTCCTTTATGAAGCTTTACCTCAGTGTGACTGACCTGTTTCCCCCCGCCGTTGCTGGGCTGCTGGCTGGACGAGAGGGAGGGTCCTGCAGCGCCCCCGCCGCAGCTGCTCTTCCCTGTGCAGTTGTTGCACAGTATCTCACCCTGGCTTCCCTTCTTCCACATCGAGGAAGAGTTCGTCTTACAGACGGAGCAGCACGGCTTTAAACCTAAAGGCATTCTCGTCGGTCACAAAACGACGCCTTCTTTAAAAAAAACGAAATGAACACAACAGTGTTCAATAACAATGGAGGAAGCGCGCCTGCTAACAACTTGTATTGTAGCAGATCCGACACTAATGCAGCTTCCGCGGTTTTTTTTTTATTAACAACGATTACAAATTTACTTTAAATACATAACATGTCATACAAAAACATCCAAACCCATAAAGCAATACACAMAGTTTGGATTTGTACCGACTGTGTCGCCCCATCTCCGATGCTAATATGCTAATTTTCTTCTTCTATGGTAGTTCTTCTTTGATGGTCTGTTGATGTTGAGGGACAGCGCCACCACCAGGACTGGAGAAATACATCAGTTTCCCCCTCCAGAGAAGTCAAGTTATTTTGTTATTTTGTTTGTCTAATGCAGCAAAAGTCGAACCGCAAGTCATTACTACAAATACACAATTTTTCTTGATCAGTATCGGCATTTTCTGAGTCATTTCCTGAAATCGTGAAGTTTCTCTCTCTCTCTCTCTCTCTCTCTCTCTCTCTCTCTCTCTCTCTCTCTCTCTCTCTCTCTCTCT